TCATATTATGCGATTAGTTCATAGTGTAGTGTCTTAGTTTTGTATGTATTTGTTTTGTTTAGTCGAACCGTATTAAATGATTATTGATTTTAGCGTACGAGTTCGAAGTTGACCTAAAAGCAGAAGCTGTAGAACAAGAAGCAGACGATTTGTTCCTACACTGGTTTCAACGATATTGAGCTTATTAAATCACTAGAATCGGGGGAACAGAGGCAGATGTTTGACCTGATCGACCTGATGGGTTTTATCGGCAAAACCCGGGCATCTGCTGAAGTTTAAGAAGGCTCTGGCTACATATTCTCGCAATCGCGACAATCGAGCAACACAAGGAATTGAAAATAGTGTCCAAAACCCTGTAGCTTAGAAGAAGGTTCAAAGAAGTATGATTATTACTCATTGTTGTGTTCTGTGCGTTCCCAAGTCTAAAATGGCTAGTATGTATCCAAAATCCAATGTGTTACTTGCAACTTTAGCCTCAGGGATCTGAATCATTTTCATACATATCTTTCCAGTAAAGAACTACATCAGTATATGTGAATGCAACTACCACCAAGATTTATTTCAGCTAGAGGATGTGTGCAAGAGCCAAAGAGCATTAGACCACATTAAAACCACTATCAACAAAATTAATAAGGACAAAAATAAACTATTATTAAAACGCAAGAAAGAACTGTATGGAAACAACCTAGAGCCCAAGAAGTGGGCAAGCAATGAAATTGCTTTTGTTCAAGCTATGACAGCCCAGACAGGTGAAATACTGAAGGAATTGGAGGAAATTGCTGAATAATGATATTGAACACATAAACAATCAGTTAAGGAAAAGGTTGGATGCTACCTCTGTCGACGACTATGAGAAAAAGAGAAAAATGAAGAGAGCCAAAGAATAGAAATCAAAGGCAAAAAAAGAAAAGGAGCATTGTGGCTGCCACATGTGAAGTAGACCTCGAAAGTGACATGTCAAGTGATGATATGCCAATTGACATTTTAGATGATTAAACTGTTTTTATTGTTTTTATAGGGTATATAGAAATTAGTCTACTTTTATATTAAATAAATAAATAAATGCTGCCATTTTTTTTACCCAACCTTTAAGAGCTATAAAAATTTTTTTACCCAACCCATTATGTCTTAGAATTTTCAGTTACCCAACCATTTTCTCTTCGGCCCCAACCCCGGGTGTAAATAATGACCGGTCCCTAAAACCCGATAAACTTTTAATAGCGCCGATATGAATTTCCAGTTCGCCCACACTTCGAAACGTTTATACATGTAACTTCGCTATACTTTTCTACATGCAACGAGAGCTTAATCTTTTAGAATTTTTCGTCGAAGCCATGGCATATCGGAAGAATTTAATAGCAACATTTGGACATATCCTCATCTACTCGTTCTCGAGTTTCCCGATTGCTTGTTTGTCATTGTTAACAAAATTTAAAATTTCGCCTGTTGCATAGCTTTTGCATTTTATATACGCCGGTAGTTTGCAGAACATGCGAGAAGATGATCATAATATTATTCTACGTAAACATCGTGAAGTTCAAGGCTATAGTTTCCAAAACATCTCCACGCAAGTAAACAAATTTCAACCCAAACAATATATCCCCATGTGCAAGGGCATTCCCCAGTAGCTAAACCCTCAATAAGGCGGCTTCCAATTGGCTCTAACTATTTTGAACACTGCCAGATGATTGGCTCCTAAAACAAAGGGAATGGAATATGCAGCTCGTTTCAGCAGACGTTAGTTAGCGAGGTTTAGAGCTATAAGAACGTCTGCGAGGAAACTAATGCTGTACTGGAGTGAGAAAATGATACGAAATTCCACGTATTTGCCACCAAACACAAGGCTAATACATAAAACGAACAATCGACTCACTCTCACCATGTTTTGAGTTAGAGTTAACCCCCGTCACTTTTGTGACGTCATGCAAAACCAAAGAATAGAGGGATGGGCACAATTTACTTATTGAAGTCCGAGAAATATTATAATGCGTTAATATAGCTGACCAAATATGGAGTTTCTAAATTCCGAATAATATTGCACGGAGTGACGTCATGATGTTATACACTAATAGTCACAGGGCATTTTATAAGTATATAGTTACTGTGGCACTTACCCCAGTAGGCTCTTTGCTTGCCCCAGTAGTGAAGCGTGATTTTCAGATCAGCAGCTGGGCCCTTTTAGTCATTGGTAAAATGTCAACCTTGTTGAAAAAGCTGCATCCTCCTGCTTTCTCATATCCTCTCACATTCTCGCCGTATTCCATCTTATAAAAGTCAACACAGGCAGGGGCGGCACTAAAAGGGGGTTGTGGGTGCGGAACACCCCCAATTGTCAGGTAGTCGGCAATTTATCTACAATCTTTGACAATATAGATTGGGACAATCTAGTTTTCACATGCATTCGGTTGTAATATACCATTTGCTGATACATATTTTCCACCCTCCCTCCCCCACCCGTTTCAATGTTGGCGCCGGCAATCCAGACATCAGATTTTTGTCGGCCCAACTTTGAACTGGGGGAACGGGGGGCGCTATTCCTTTCAAAATATAAGAAATTACAGCAGCTGTCCCATAGTTGCTGGCAAAGATTGTCTTGGTGGTGATCAATTGTGTTTGGAATTTGGTAATTAAACGTTTTAGTTTTAAGTTTATACCGCCCAATTACATATATTCCAGTATCGAAGCATAAGTGGGCAAGTTTTGGTAGTTTTAGATGCTATCCATTCATTCCGTGGGGGGGGGGGGCGTTGTGTTATTTTTAACACTTTACATACCAATACAGATACGTGTGCTACTAGCTATAATGCTTAATAAGCACATTTATATTCACGTCTAATATCATCATAGCTCTCTTCCTTGTGAAAAATCCGCGGAAATTTATTCAGAAGTTACTTTCTGTCTTTGGAATGATGCAAAAGACCATAATTACGACGAACCTGGAACAGAACTATTCAGAAATAATCGGTTTGTGAGTGCGGTAGGTTTAAACTCATCTCACAACATATTAAACTGCGGGGAAAGACAAATAAATATGCATTGTTTTCGCCTTTTACAAACTTATACTTGAGAACTGTGGCCATTTCCAAACTAAATTACGTTTACAGTATAAGATTTATAGCACAGTTCATAACGAAGCCAGTAGTCAAATTTCATACGTCTCATATTACACGATGCTCACTAACGAATCTCGGTCTAAAACGCTGATTTGCGTTACTATAAATTTTACTTATCTTACATTTTATATACATATGGGTACAAGAAACCATTTTCCTTAATTACAATCGGTCAACTTTGCAGATATCCCTTTTTAAGTTCGTTTTTGAACGAAGCTCACTACAAATCTGTAAATAAATCTATATCTCATTGGCTATTTTATGACAGAAAGGTGAGAATCGTTGCTAGAAAATCATTCGTATCTTAGTCCGTTCGTTACGAAAACTTGTAAAATGGTCCTATCGATCTTGTAAAATATGCTGGACTTTAGATGCCTAGGGTGAATTTGTTTGATATTGTCTGCTACTGATTAAGGCTTTTATGGCGTGTGAGCCCATCAAAATATGGTGAGATTCGTGGTGAGATTCGTTTCTATACGGATCTCATTGTCACATATACGCGCTTAGTTTACTAACAAGTTGGCTCAGTTGTCAATTTTCTTTGAATAGAGTTCCAATACTATTTTTTTTCTGCGTTGGTGTTGTGTACTCAGGTGAATAATATGTTTGCGATGTTACTCTGAGTGCATATCCACACCGGGCGAGCTTGAAAAATATATGCCCGGCCACGGTGGGATCCCACCGTGGCCGGGCATATTTTTCAAGCTCGCCCGGTGTGGATATGCACTCAGAGTAACATCGCAAACATATAGTTCCAATACTGTTACCATGCATGGAATTCAATGAATTGTGACTAAAATATACCACTACAAGCCTTTAAATCTGGTTTTAAATATACGCGATGAAATTCAGCCGGATTTTAGCTATTTCCTAACACACGCATACGCAAGCATTGTATAACACAGTACACGCAAATTATCTGTGTGCAACGAAATTGCTAAAGGACCTAAAAGGCGTGAAGAACTTATGAAAATTGACTGCGTACACAGCTTGATGATGTCTACAAGTCGAATTAAGTTAAATTTAAGAGTAATGGTATTACTTCAACAGACAGTAGTCCCAGTTGGATAAAAAAGGAAGAAACTAAAACATATTTGATTGATACTGATAAAAATCTAATAATTGTCGCTAAAATTACGGAAAATTTAAACAGACAATACTACGTAATTAACCCAAACGAAAATGAAAAGTATAATGTCCGGAAAATTTGCGATGTTGAACCTTGTGTCGGAGCCGTGAAGCCCCCCCCCCCCCCTCCCGGTCGGTCGCCAACAATTTTTGGGAAAAGAAACACTAATTAGGGTTTGAAATTAGTAGGCAATATTTCACTTACACCCACACCCCTTTTAAATAACGCTAGCGCTGCCCCTGAGCACAGGATATTTTTATGTACCCGTAACTGTGTGGGGAAAAGGCGTTAAAGGTCTTCATTGAGATTTAGCCCCACTATACAGTGTGTATAAAAAAAACTGAACCCTTTCAAATTCAAATTAGCTATAACGTATTGTAGTAATTTGACAGCTCTAATTGCTTTAAATTAATGATTGGATTCTTACACTAGGTCTTGTACTCATGGGACAAAACTCAAAGAAATAAGAATTAGAAAATTAAAAAAAATACAGTATTCCTTGTGTTCTTACCCAACCATTAATTCAAGGCAATTAGAGCTGTCAAATTACTACAATACGTTATAGCTAATTTGAATTTGAAAGGGTTCAGTTTGTTTTTATACACCCTGTAGTTGTAAGTTCTTAAAAAATGCCCTGAATAGTCACCTCGACGGCAATCGATCAGCGTGGAGAATTTTCAATAATCATTTATGTAATTATACTAGCTAATAGCATATATTCAGGAGGTGGATGTGCTTTTCTAGCAATTTGAATGGTTGCCCAGCTCCGGCCTCTTGCACTATTCACCTCCGGACAAAAATAAAAAGTCCGGCTCGTTTCGTTCCGGTTACAGACGAAAACATTTTTGTACTAAACGAATCTAAGTTTTCGCCAAACACGAGGAGAGCCACAAAGTTTTGTTTAAGGTTTGTTCTGATTTATGTCACGATGACCATGAACCTTCGCAGCTCCACTCTATCCAATCCATGGTATTGACCTGCCCTGAAATCTAAAGCCAAACCAACAGCTTTTGTGTTGTACATTAATTGTTGAGTTTGGAACCGGTCCTTTTTTCTAAGTGCACATTAAAACGCCTTTTAAATTATGGCTGCTTAGTGTTGTTGTTATGTTATGAATTCATACTATGAAATAACGGCGATTTCAATAACCTTGACGTATTTGAGCATATCAAAAGCATCGCATGTATTTAATATGTTTTGACTAAATGCGCAAGGTGGAGAAATATAAAATACTGTAAAAATATACTAAGATTACTAAGAGCTGTTGTTATTTCTTTAAAAATACACATTATGCTAATTCTCCATCGCAACTGCATGTTCTGAGGATTACACTAAGGCACGTACCATTACGTACGGAGATTCGTCAGAAACTTCATTTGTCGGATCGCTATCCAATGTATCCATGTTGAATGAAGCATAATGCTGATCATTTTCACCTCTGTCAAGTTGCGTACCTTCCACGATTAAACTTTGATAATTTGCGTCAATGGGAACTCGCTTGGAAATGTCAATTTGTATATATTCTGCTGGTTCTTCATAAGCACATAGCTTTTCTGAATCGGATACTTGTGGTAGTTCCATGTTACGTTGTGTATCACCTTCATAAGCATGCAGTATTTTGAATGTTATCAATGCCTTGCGTGTTCTCCTTTCCAGGTCAATTTCTTCGATAGAGAAAGCAACCCACAATAACCATTGCTGTTACTAAGACAACCACAACTGCCACCACGATTCCAATAACAGCACCAGTGTTAATGTCCGATGGTGATGGTTCGGATGGACCGGGATAGAGCAAATATAAAAACAAAATATTTAATTTGGTTAATTTATTAGCAGGTTATATTAGTTTGGTACAGTAATATAAACTTTGAGCACTTTGGAGATCATTTTTGCAAGACGAAAATTGGTAAAAGGCAGAGATAATAAATATTTCTCCTTCTGGAAGCCTGGGCTAGTAATCTATAAACTCTTAAAAACCTGACTAATTGACCAATGAAATTAACCGTTCAATTTTTGAACGTCGAATTTCGTTGTTCAGCACCAAACATTTATAGACATGTTTACGCACAAGCAACACACTATAGTGAAGGATCATTAGATATTCTGCATACAGGGCGGGGGTAGCCTGCGTGCAGGCCCAAGGGAACTGACAGTGGGCCTGCAAGCAAGGCCCGGTATTTTGTAAAACGCCCCTTTTCATAACACGCCCCATTCGCGCGTCAATTGTCAAAAAAGAACCAATGACAGCACCCAAATATTAACAAACAAACTCGCATTAAAATGTTGCGGGGTTTTCTCTGCTTATTCAGAACACTAATAAACAATGTGTAAATGGCTGCGTTTTAACTCCAAAAAAGCAAGCAACGCAGTCAGTAATTGCCAAATTTGCAAGTGCTCATTTTCAACTAGAATCGGAACAGGCAAATTAGGACGAATTTCAACAGAAAACCAGTCTCAAACTTCAAATCATGAGGGAAGTCGTGCGACCACATTAGGATTTATATTATGTGCGCTTCGCTGTCGCCATTAGCATTGTTATAAATAAATTGTCTCACTTATCAGATCGTGTGTGCAATTCTTGTTGGCGGCGGAAAGTACGAAATTTATTTCAGTTATTTCATTTGGCATGGTAAAGAACTCTACAAAAGAAGAGAGCGTTCCGAGTCCAGATCGTTTCGTTTCAAACGGCAATTTAATACCGCCTTCTGTTTTGCTCTCTCAGCGAAGCCTTGTAAATCGCAAAGTGTTTCGAATAGGCTTACAGTCCTTACATGCAACTGCATCTCAACATCAACCAAAAGATAATTTTCTTGAGGAAGTGAGAACATATAACGTATCAACTGAAGTCTGTTTGAAATTAATGAAACTCAAGTAAAGGTTACGTATAGTTTATCAGTTCCCTTGGGCCTGCACGCGGGCTAGGTTAATTAATTACCGATCGCCTCAGCTAGCCAATGGAAATTTAGCCGGCGGTTCGGGCGGCGAAAATCGAAAACATGGGCGCCTGTACGCAGGCTAGGCGGGGGTGGTCGACCCTGAAGAAATTCATGCCAAGAGTGGAATTTAAAAACAATTTAGGAAAAGAAAAAGAATCCAGCAAAATACATGGATTATACAAAAATATATAGAAAAAATTCCCGCACAGCTTCTCCAATGTAAAAATAGTTTGACAAAGCTCCGAATTACTTAAAACAATTCCACTCCATGCCTCACTTCCAGGATAAATAAAATAGTCCACTTCTTGATGCGACGTATAACTGTGAAATAATACTGTTTACTTACAGCAGTATACAATTGGTGCTGTTGAAAGCTAGACCAAGATTTGATGAAGTGTTAATTTCTTATACTCACTACAAAGACAGAACGGAACGCATTAACATTCCCCCAGGTTATTATAAGTAATAGCATGGCTTGAGGGAGATTAGTGATTAAATGGCCCCGTAACCCGAGGCAGGTTTGCGGAATTCCCGAGGGCGAAGCCCGAGCGAATTCCGCAAACCTGCCGAGGGTAAGGGGTCATTTAATCACTAATCTCCCGAAAAGCCATGCTATTAGTTTGTAATAGCATAGTTTCGCTCCCATTTAAAAATGGACAAACATGCCCTACTTGGAATCAGCGTATTTAAGCTAAAACATTTGCTTCATTGCTTGTGTGATGTAAAAGCTTGTTGCACATGCGCACTTTTTACGCTTTAATCGGTTACGCATGCGCAATCTATCATTTAACGTACCACAACAAACACGCTAAATATATTAGTATAAATTTGGAGACTGCACGTGCGTAATTTAAATGATGCGGCAACTCAGGGATCGGATGATAGACTATTGACGGCTCTGAGCTAACTGTTGCTGTTCCTTGCACGATTATGTGCGTGAGGCACTTGCCTAATGCGTAGTCGTCAGGGAGACAAAGGTGTGACCCTTGGTAACGGGCGATTAGTTCTAATCGCCCGCTCTAGCGGACGATTAGAACTAATCGCCCGCTACAGCGGGCGATACGTGATTAAACGTCCCTGTTGAAACAAAAGAAACCCGGGCAACTATGCTATTATTCCATTAATTAATGAAGTCAACGAATACTTGATTCCTGTAACCATAGAGACATATCAATTGCTGCACTGTTAAATCTGTGCCTATTGTGCAACGACATCTGCTACAGTTCTATTCCAAACTTGCAGGAGAACTAAGTTATCTGTCGCCAAGTTAACAGGTTTTCCAAAGGCATACTTTCGAAGGTTATTTTCCCCTGGACAATAGGTATAATGTTTGCATGCCCTAAATAGTGTATGATACTCTGGTAATGGCATCGCATAAATATCCGTCTCATTTCGTTCAAGCAGACACGCCGCTAGTGCGCCTGTGTTTACTCTTGGCAAGAAATAGACACGCAAAGAATTGATCAGACCAGAATTGATGGATTCCCGTCGGCCATGGTTAGTCACTATACAATACGACTACTAGCGGCCAAGTTCAATGACAAAGCATCTGCTGCATGAGCAAAAGAAACTTGGACAACAGCAATAACAATCCTTGGCCATTCAAAAGACGGAAGAGTTGAAGGTATGTGTATGTCCACTACACCAGATACACCAAGTAATAGAGACAAGTTAGAAATAGAATATCTGTCAACTAATGAACTAATGCTCCCAGTATTAATAGTATGAAGTTCAATCACAGGCAAGTTAGATAGTTGTGATAAAGGTGCTTTTGTTAGACTGATTAATTCATAATAACTATACCCATACGTCGTAAGTAACAGATTTCGGAACGTAGGATTATTGATTTCTAGTAATGCTTTGACTTGCTGTAGGTGCAACATGACTTGCTGATGGTATTTCCACCAGTTCCACCCAGATACCTTCGTTTGTAACCAACTGAAGAATATCATCCATAACGAACCACCTTGTGATATTAGTAACAGTTATAAAGATGTATGGAGAATTCCGGAATTCAACTGCGGTCAGAGCATTAAATTTAGCTTCAACTTCGTTCAGAGATCTTGATAGAACATAAGCAACGTTGCAGGTCGGCTCTGTTGCTCCTTGCCCAAACAACAGTTTAGATACAGCAAGCAACGAGTTTGATGTTTTGACAGAGCACTGAGACAATTAGCTTGACAATGGTATATTTTCAATAGCAAATAGTTGAGGCTTCTGCCAATCATACAGAATTTCCAGATCACGAAGATTTAAATTAATCGAAGAACCACCAGCAAAAAATACAACATTGTTTCAGCTGCGCCTTGGGCTTGAGTTAATCCTGCGACGACATAAGAGGTATCAAGTGACCTTGTTTCAAATAGGTTCTTACGAGCTTGAAGTAATAAAAAGTTCGGAAAGAAAGTGTTGGTCAAATTATCAAGTGTGTAGCCGTATAACGTAGCCATGTCCGTATGAAGAAGCTCAGCCATTTCTGACACAGAAACACCAAAAGTTTTAGCCCTACATTGAACTGCTTTCTTTACAATTTCTTGTACGAACAATGCCCATTGGTCTTCCAAAAGAATCGTGGAGGACATATTGAGTCTTTGTTCAATTATAGTCATATTAAAGCAGTAAATATCTTCCAGTATTTCAACAATCAAATTATGCATCTCCAGCACTGTGATAGTGTACGTGTATAATTATATTGTGTATTGCGTGTATAATGCACATGCACTTGCATGTCGAAATTGTAAACGTTAATTTTGGCGGAAATTGTACCATGCATCCACCAAAATTCATGTTACAATGTTGAAAATTGAAGTTGTTAAAAACCATGGTTGTTCCAGCTATAAAGTTCTAAATGCAGTGTCTAGTGTTGTAAATTACAACCAATAATGTTGAGGCTTCTGCTAATCATACAGAATTTCCAGATCACGAAGATTGAAATTAATCGAAGAACCACCAGCAAAAGACAACATTGTTTCAGCTGCGCCTTGGGCTTGAGTTAATCCTGCGACGACATAAGCGGTATCAAGTGACCTTGTTTCAAATAGGTTCTTACGAGCTTGAAGTAATAAAATGTTCGGAAAGAAAGTGTTAGTCAAATTATCAAGTGTGTAGCCGTATAACGTAGCCATGTCCGTATGAAGAAGCTCAGCCATTTCTGACACAGAAACACCAAAATTTTTAGCCCTACATTGAACGCTTTCTTTACAATTTCTTGTACGAACAATACCCATTTGTCTTCCAAAAGAATCGTGGAGGACATATTGAGTCTTTGTTCAATTACAGTCATATTAAAGCAGTAAATATCTTCCAGTGTTTCAACAATCAAATTATGCATCTCCAGCACTGTGACAGTATGTGTGTATATATTTTGTATTGCGTGTATAATGCACATGCACTTGTATGTCGAAATTGTAAACGTGAATTTTGGCGGAAATTGTACCATGTATGCACCAAAATTTATGTTACAATGTTGAAAATTGAAGTTGTTAAAAACCATATTTGTTCCAACTATAAAGTTCTATGTGCAGTGTCTAGTGTTGTAAATTACAACCAATAATGTTGAAAAATTTAATGTCAATTCCAAACTTTGACGAAAACTGTACACAATACTTCGTGAAGTGGCTTGCAGGAACTCCTTCAGTTTTCTCAGGTGATCTTGCTACTACCTTGAGTATGTTGACGACCAAATCTGCTACAAAAGTCTCTCAAGATTCATTTAGATTCGATGGAAGGCGTCGGCCAAGTACATCTCTTCTCTTGACTTAACTCGTAAGTCACAGCAAGATTGTAACTTTGCAATTGTAGCAACATTTCTTTCTCTATCTGCACGTAGTGCATGCATGCTGTTGCATTGTCGTATAGGCCTGGTGCTCCTTCTTGCAACAGGATATATTGTACCTGACCTTTACTGCTTGCACCGACTGATAGGGTTACTATATGCGCCTTTAGAAAGCCTTCCCCTCGATCACGTTGAGCTGTGTCCTTCGCAATTCAGGTTAGCTCTCGGCCGCAAGTAAGGAAAAAGCGCACGCCAGTAGTAATATAGGTACCGTTCGGGCCGGATTTTTGTGGTGGAGTGTGGTGGAGTGTGGTGGTGTGTGGTGGAGTGTGGTGGAGTGTGGTGGAGTGTGGTGGAGTGTGGTGGAGTGTGGTGGAGTGTGGTGGAGTGTGGTGGAGTGTGGTGGAGGTGGTGGAGGTGGTGGAGTGAGAAGGAGTGAGGAGCAGTAATGACGTCACTCATTAACATACGTCATAATTATATGCAATGACGTCACGCGGGCAAGCTTAAACACGATCGGGCGAAACTTGCTGACTACGCATTTTTTTAGCGTCCCCCACGTTTATGATAGAATTGAGGGATTAGGATTGGCTTACTATGAACTTTTATACAAGTGTCTGTATAAAATCGACAAGTGTCTTGTAGCAGGCATAGTTCTGTATTAGTTCTACATCAGTCATGGCGTGTCTATACGGTATAACCACATCTTACACTTTATTGGAAGGAATTTTTGCGAATGCAGTCGCACAAGAAGTTGAAAGACTTTGTGTGGAATCCTGTAATGGTTGTCAAGTCGGTCATCCTAGTCATCAAAGACAACATGACTGCCTCGTGATGAACGAAAACGAACGATGGCAAATGTATGGTTTACAAGCGATCGAACGAGTGAACGGTTTGGAATGAATTCGCTGTGGCAATGAGGGTACTAAAACTGGTGGTTGATAGAGATGTACTCGAACCGCATTTACAGCAACTGGAAAAAGATCCAGATTCTACGTTTGTCGATTCATTGATGGAACTACATCAGAACACTGAGAACCACGAACTACAATGCATACTGAACTATTTGTTTCATTGGAGATTAGAAGACCCACTCGAGTCCGTAGCTGAAGCGTTTTTCTCTGACCCACCGAGTTACATGTATTCTGTACGTGAAGGCGACGGGTGAACGATTTAGAAGTTTTGAGGCAGATCATAAGAAAGCTTATCAAGAACTCATGGAGAAAAAACTTATAGAACAGTTTAACAAATAGTTTTAGTTGTAATATTTTTTACACTATCGTCTGTTATTTGTATCAATAAACATGTTTTAAACTTTACAAATGTTGCGTTGTTATGTGTTGCTAAGTCATTAGGTACGTAATTAAGGGGATTAAGGCAATACGAATTTGCATAACTGAGTGTATCCCAATGGATAGATAGGGATTATTTTTAACGCCGGTGTATACCTTAAAATCAGGCGCGTGGCTTTGCGGGTGCATGCATATATTAAAGTACAACATATTTGTACACTAAACAGGCGGGCGGGTCGCGCGGGCGGAAAGAGCGGGCTTTGCCGGCAAAAATTTACACAATATTTCAGTTTTTAAATACATTTATTTCTTCAAAGCGTTTTACAAAATTTAGTAAGGTCTACTTCTAAGAGCGTAACGTCTAGGTGTTTTTGTTATTTTTAAAGAGTTCTCATATTCTTGTCTATCTTCTGGGGATAACTTTGCAAGTTTTTCCGGCTTCATTGGAATATACTTCGGTCTATCGCTCAATATAAAACGTTCATAATCCTCTCTTGCTTCCGGAGTCATTCGCGCTAGGTCACGTTCGGTCCAATCTGCTGGGTCAACCCAATTGTGAAAAAAATTGCGCTTGAGTTTTGGCCGTTCCTCTTCTGTTGGTGGTGGTGTAAGGAAATTAGGTTTAGGAGTAGCAGGCACTGGTGGTGCTATCTCAACAAATTCATTGGGTTGTGGTATTTCTGCAGGCACTAGTGGAGTTGTCTGAACAGGAGCTTGAGCTGGGACATCCATCTTATTTTTGAATGTGAGAAACCGATTTAGTTGATCAGAGTATAATTTGCTTTTTTCCACTGCGCTAAGCTGTGGTGCATCCATAATTTCTTTCATGCGCTGCTCGGCATCATACATGGCATTTACAAGTGGTGGTTGTCGATACGACTGTTTTTGTATAAACTTTTCAATCTCACCGGGAAGTATGTTGGTTTTGAGTCGTTTCTGATCATCTGTTGTTGGCTTTAAATCCAACATCAAATACCCGTGAGGTCGTCTCGTAACATCTTCATAACTCCTCATAAATTCTTGTACTTTTCCGGGATTTATTTGCCTTGCAAGCATAGAAATGTGTTGTTTATCTCTTGGTGACTTGAACAACACGATATAATGGGCGTTTAGGCTGATATTTCTCGTTTCTTTGCCTTGATGAAATATATTTTGAACAATATAGATGATAGATAAATTCCGATGATGACTTCCTTTCGTAAAAAGATCAGAAATACGTTTATCTTTGCCAGATTGAGCCATAAGGTCGTCCAATACGACCAAATTCCGTTGCGATACGTCCAAGTAATCTGCGTTGTCGATGTCTTCGGGGATGCCTTGATTAAACTCGATTCCAGGCATCGTTCTCATCATATCAAAATAGGAGGGTTGCCATTGACCATAACACAAATGATACGTTGAGGAGCAGGACTTATAGTTTTCTGTGCATTCTCCAAGAAAGATTTTACCCATACAGTCTTGCCGCTTTGGGTACACCCAGCTACGATACATGTGAAAGGATGCTGCAAAACTGTAGATCCTGCTGAGATTTCAACTGGTTTGCTTTGAACATCTCCATGGGTATTCAAAGTATGACGCTTGAGGTTACCGCGTGTTAAAAATACTTTGGCACATATATTACACGGAAAGGACATGTTCACACCACGAACGTCTAGCTGCAAGTGATAATAAATTGGCGTATTCGTTCTATATATTCATTAATGCATCTATCCAGTATTATTCTGTATCTTTATCTTCCTTATCTTTATCTTCCTTATCTTTATCCTTATCTTTATCCTTATCTTTATCTTCCTTATCTTTATCTTCTTTATCCTTGTCTTTATTTTCCTTATCTTTATCTTCCTTATCTTTATCTTCCTTATCTTCCTTATCTTTATCTTTATCTTTATCTTTATCTTTATCCTTATCTTTATCTTTATCCTTATCTTCCTTATCTTTATCCTTATCTTAATCTTTATGTTCCTTATCTTTATCTTCTTTATCTTCCTTATCTTTATTCTTTTCCTTATTTTTATCTTTATCCTTATCTTTATCTTCTTTATCATATCTTCTTTAGCTTTATCCTTATCTTTATCTTCCTTATCTTTATCCTTATCTTAATCTTTATGTTCCTTATCCTTATCTTTATGTTCCTTATCTTTACCTTCTTTATCTTTATCTTTATCTTTATCTTCTTATCCTTATCCTTATCTTAATCTTTATGTTCCTTATCCTTATCTTCCTTATATTTATCCTCTTATCTTTATCCTTATCTTCCCTATATTTATCCTCTTATCTTCCTTATCTGACATGCACAAGGAGCCAAGTTCGATAAGCTCATAGTCGAGCTCTCAATAGCTTGGAGCCTTGTCTAAATTGCTTTCTCTCTTCCGATATAAGCTTCATTATTGTTGTGTTTTACTCATTTGCTTCCAAACCGTCGAACAGAAATGATCAATCTTCTAAGGCACAAGCCATTTCTTGAATTGTTGGGCACGTCTGAGCCTGATCAACAACAAGCACTACTGGAAACAGCAACCGCCGGGCAAGTACACTGCCTGTGTCTCTGTGTAGAAAACGTTATGAAAAGAAAATATTTAATGCCGAAGCATGTAATGAAGAAACTCCGACCTTACAAACATGAAATGCTTAGGTTGGCAGATAGAGGAAAATGTGGAAGAAGAAAAAAACGGATACTCATTCAGCATGGTGAAGGTTTCCTTGGACTATTACTAAGTCCTATTTTGGAAAGCCTGGCTGAACTTGTATAAAAGCCCTGTGACTACAAATTATACATCATTTCAACAATGAACATCGAGAGTAAAACATCTCCGCGACATTGGCGCATTGAAGATATACTTTTGTATCTGAACAATAATGTCAAAAAAACTACAGCAGAAAAAATGCTACATTCTATTCTTATATCAAGTGATATTTTAACTTGGAATCCTCAGGGTGAGATTGTTTATCATGGAAGAGACATTCCTGGTACTAACATCGAGAACTTTTTACAATACGCACTTTTACCATACAACTTTCACATTCCTGAACCACGAGGGCTCGACCTGTTTACAAAAGGCCCAGTAGAAGCAGGGGTTAATAAAGATTTGATTAAAAATGAGTATTTATTGTCAAAAATGGCAAAGGAGGAACATGAAATGCCACAATCTGAGAGTGATGT